AGGTGGTACCTCCAAACCTGCTGGCAGTAGCTGTCAGACATCAGGTAGCTGGCATTCTACCAGTGGCCTACCTCAGAGCCAAGAGTGGTGGCTGGTATATAGATGGGAGGTGCAAGGAAATCCCTGAAGTGTCTGAGGTGGGGAGTGACCTGGGCCTCCGTGAGCCTCTGTGGACTGGCTTTACATGGCAGCAGGAGGGCCAGGTGCAGGGAGAGGCACCCAGTTGCCTGATCTCTGGAAAGGCCAGCTCCAAGTCGGCTCCTCCCGGGCAGCCCAGCACTGGGATCTCTCAGTGAGGAGATGCCATGTGGCCTGCCTGTCCCTACGCCTGCCCAGATGTCCCCAGCAACTTGAAGTCGGCCCTGGGATCCCCCTCCCTCCTTCCCTCCCTCCCTCCATTCACTCAACAGCACGTGCTGTTCGCCTACAAAAGCATGTCCCTCTCTGGACCCTGGGCATCCAGGGTTAGTATGATGAGACCCTTTTCTCAGGGATCTTGGGCACACAATAAACCAGAAGAGAAATCAGCAATGTCCCTGCACTGCTCAAAACTGCCCAGCATTTTGTACCTCACACAGAGTCAAAGTATGGCCATGACTGAGCCCCTCTGCCATCGTTCCTCGACTCTGCCCACTGGCTGGCACCCTTTCCCCTCACGCCAGGGTCCCTGCCCCTGTGTCAGACGCCCACAGAGCTGGCCCCTCCCTCTTCAGGTCAAGCACAGATCCCCCTGTGAGGAGCATCCCTGCCCGCCCTCATGCCCCCTTCCCCCTTTGATTTCTCTGTAGCTCTTTTCACCAAATATATAAATTCTCCAGAGGAGGCTGAAGCATCTGCCTCCACTTCAAGGGGTCTTCAGGGCCTCCAGCCAGTCCCACTTGTCCTGGGGAATAATCAGTATCCTGGGAGGCAATGGAATGTACCTGGCCTCCCCAGGTCTCCTCTCCAGGCACCCTGACAGGTGGCCCAGTGGTTCCCAGCTCTCCTGAGGCTGGGCCAACACAGCAACGTGCTCCTGGCTCTCCTTGTCCTGCCCAGGTGGGTTCTTTCTCATCCCCTCACACTGGACGAGGGACCATGGCAGCCCTTCTGCTCCAGCCCTGCAGTTGCCCACTGGGTATGACTGGTCTGTGAGGATCCAGCTGGGCTGACACGCCCTCCCCTCCTGGAGAGAGAGACCCTGAGGGCCACTGCAGTGTGTGCTGTGGGCACCATCATGTGGGTACCCAAGGTGGCAGCCTTGGTGTCAGGGGCCTGCAGGCATGTCCTGGCTGCACAGCCAACCCCCTGTCTGACCCTGGGCCTCCTTGGGCCTTGGTTGCATCACCCATATGACGGGGACAATCCTACTATCTTCCTCACAGGTGGTTGAGAGGTGGAAGGAGCCCATGCATATGGAAGGGCTCAGGATTCAACTCGGTAGCTGTCAGTGTTCATCTCTCTCCCGCACCTGCTCAGATCTGAGCCAGGAGGGCTTCTGTGTGAGGTGAGAACCGGGGCTGCTGTAATTGAGCCCTTCTGATTTTGGTGCCCGATGGGGTCTCAGATTACCAACCGGTGCTCGAGGGTCCCAAGCAGTGGCCCAGGGAGATGGGGTGAAACCAACACTTCTGCTTGGTCTTTATGAGGCAGCAGTGTGGGTCTTGGATAGCCCCTCGCCATCTTTAGTCATAAATGTTACCAAGTTTGTCTTTTGCTATTTTGACAACTTCTACAGAATGAGCTGTGGAAGCACTAAAGATAAGAAGAGCACTTTTGACAGTGTGTGAAAGAAACAGGCCAAAGTGTGTCTATTTCAGTAGAGGATGGGAGTGGGACCCATGAGGTGCTCACTGGGTGCTGGGAGGTGGCTGCACTTTCCCACTCAGCCTCCTGTCCCTGGGCTCCCCTTCCCCCTCCCGAAAAGCCCCTCACCCTGGAGAGGTGGGTGCTCAGGGATGGCTCTGCAGGGCTGAGGCTGTATCCCCTCCTCCAACCAAATGGGGCTCCAGGTGTGCCTCTAATGCCTACACTGGCTCATGAGGCTGCCATGAGGCTGCCTCAGGAGCTAGACCAAGCCAGAGTAGACACCTCAGCCAAACTGTCACACCAGTTACGGGGAAGGGTTCCCTTGGAGCTTAGGACCACTGTGGCCACCTGGGGGTGGAGCATGGCCCGTGCTGTCCTATGCGTATCCCTGCACAGCATCAGGCAGGATCCCAAATAACTATCCTTTCTTCCTCCACATCACACACCAGCCCCCTTGGGGCCACTCCACGTTGGGCCCCACCCAGGTGGCACATACCACCAGGTTGGTGCTCCATGGAGGCATCACACCCATGTGGCAAATTAGGCAGTTGTGGCCCCTCCTGGTGACTCTCGTGTAGCTGTGAGACCATCAGCTGGCTAGTGAAGAATAGGGCCTGGTGCCCTGCTGGGCCCAGGAGGGCCAGGCTCAAAGTAGCAGTCAGGCTGTTGTGGTCACCTGGCCATGTGTCCTGATGCCTACGGGACATCCAAGTGGAAACCCAGAAGGTTCTAAGCCAGGGAAAGCAGGCTTGGGGATGCACATAGTAGCCGTCAGCCTTGGGAATGAGGAGAAAGTGGCCGGGTCATAGGAAGCCCCCAAGGAGCATGCAGGGGCAGCTGCAGGGTAGAGTAGAAATCAGAAAGGAGGAGAGGCCAAGAGGGCACAAGAGGTGACAGGAGGGTACAGTGGAGGAGGAGGAGGGAGCCATAGAAAGTGCTGGAAGGGGACAGGTCAGTCTTTAGAAAAGTCCGCACACACTGAGGCGCACACTTCAGACACTGAGATACAGGGACAACAGTAGCACCCACGAGGGGAGGTGGGGCTGGGCAGTGAGGGCCACCTAGTGCTCAGCCTCTGGGCATGAGCCCAGCACCCGGGAGTACAGCTCTACCAAGGGTCAGCTGCCTGGTGGGGGCCCAGGGCACCTACAGGAATGAATAAAGGCGCCTGGTGTGTTCCACTGTTTTAACTTGGTTAGCACATTAGCTGTGTTGGAGAAGCCCACGTTCTACCTCCTGCTGTAAGGACAGCAAAGGGAATGGTGCAGAGACTGTAAGCCCTGGGGAGCATGGGGGGCCTGTGCCACAAGGTTCACAGTCAGCTGACAAGAAACCCTCCACACTCATATCTGTAGCAGCCTCTAAGAACCACCAGCTTCACAGGGACAGAGTGGTTAAGGGTAGAAAGTCTCACCTGAACTTGAGGCTCCACTTACTCACGGGGTGATGTTGATCCAGCACTGAGCTGACTTCTCATCTGCACAGGGAGACCATCATGTGCTCATCAGCTTGGAGCATACACATCCAGGTAAGGAAAGCAGGTGCACACCTGTATCTACCTTGCTTCTCTCTTAAACCCAGCTAAGGGGACAGCTTTGAAGGTATGAATTGGCAGGAGTGAGGAGATGGAAGCAAAGGCAACAGTGCAATTGAGAAGCCAGAAAACTCACAGATATGAAATAAATGGCCCAGGAGACCCAAAACACTGAATTCTAGGCAGAGTGCAGAAAGCTCAAAACCAACAGAGTCCACATTCCAGAACCCCCAAGAGCAGGCAGCCCTAGGTTCTTCTGGAGACTGGAGAAGGGCTGAAACAAAGACAACTGGTAGAAAGTGTTTCAGAAGCTGGCAGAGCCCCCAGAACCCTGCTCTGCCTCTGAGAGCCAGACTAACAGTCCCCTCTTTCTGTATAAATCCTTGAGCTTTATTCTCTAGAGAGGATAAAAGAGAGGGATTGCAAGCTAGTGGAGAAGGCCCGGTTTGGGTGGGGGTCCCACACCCAAGTCAATCCTAAGAGAGCACATGCCTGTGCCCCCAAGACACTCCTCTGCTCCCAGCAAGCTGGTGGCCCGGCCTGCCCCTCTGAGTCGAAGGTGAGGGCATCTTCTTGAGGGGACCAGCTCATGCCATCGTTACACTGTGGGACTGTGCAGCTTTCTAATGTTGTGGTAGTAGCCTGTCCCCACCGGAACAGCCTCCACCTCTCCTGCCAACTCTCATGCTCCCCAGAGAACTTCACCTCAGCTTGCAACAGGGATGCCTCAGAATCAGTCTCGCTCACACCCACCCCACACCTCAGCATCTGGTGTGAAGGGGTGCAGCACCAGGCCACCGATCTCCCTGTTCCCAGCAGGGCCTCAGAGGTGACTCCAGGAGCCCTCCCTCGTGGCTGCACAAGTGCCGCATTGCCTGCTAGTGCGCTGGCGCCTGCTCTGGCCCCACGGCCAGCAGCTGGAGTCCTGCAGAGAGTACCAATGCCCCAGGTGTCACGGACCCTGTCTGACTGGAACCGAGGCTGGAAACTCGGCCCAGAATGTCCAAGGATTTGTCTGTGAATGCAGATCCTTTTTTTGCATGTCGGATGGGAGCTCCAGGTCTGCCTCTAGGGCCAGATTCCCAGGGAGGTCGAAAGCAGGCTGACAGTTCAGGTTGAATGTGACTAGTCTCTCCCCGGGAGGCAAGTGTGAGAACGGAACCATGAGGAGCCACTGCAAGGCCATAGAGCCGGCAACCAGCTAGAGAAAGGGTCACCGCCTCACATAATGGGGGTGTCCAAGGGCAGAGCGCCTACAGCCTGGCTCTGAAAATGTCAGCAGACAGCTCTCGCTCCCTTCCTCCATCTTCCACCTCCGTTTCTCAGCTCTGCCTCTCTCCAGAAAGCCTGACCCCTCTCCCCACTGCAGCCGCTTTCTCCCTGTGGCCAGGAGAGGTGGCCCAGGACAGCCCAACTCCATGCCCCAGTCTAACCTCAGAGAGAACTCCTGGGGAAACTCCAATTTGCACACGCTGGTCATGCGGAAAGGGCCTGGCATGGCGACTTAGACCTTCTAGAACCACGGGGCAGGAGGGAAGGATGTTGGCTGGGCCTACGCAGGGTGGGTCCATGTGTGCCACCAGAGAGACCCCAGACACGGAGAGTGCGACCCTGCCTGCCGAGCACGCACTCCCGGGGCGAGCGAGAGGGCTGTGGGGAGCAGAGACACGGCGCCGACTCACAGTCAGAGTGGACTTTTATTAGGAAATCACCCTGCAGACACGCCAGTGCTGTGGGTTCAAGCGTTTCCTGAGGAAGGAGGGTCACAGTATCAGAGCTGTCAGAGGGAGGGCGGCGAGCCTTGCGTCCGGAGGCTCCTCGGCGCCTGCGGCCAGACTCCCTCACAGGACGGCTCAGCCGTGAGAGCCAACACACACACAGACACGAGAAACACGCCAGAGCACGCACATCTGCGCTACGCTTAAATAATAATAAATACAGAATTCCATTTGCTGTTATCTCTGCCTGAAACAAAAGGAACCCAAAAGGGAAAAAGAAAACCAAAAAGTCTTTCTCTCCACCAGACTAAGGGGAAAAAAAATCCCCAAATTATCAAAATTCCTCAGTTACAAAATACTTTTTTAAAAATTCCATTATTAAAAGAATAAATAACAAAATATATAAAAAATAACTTGGTTGCATCAAAATTATAACTAGAAGTTATATCAAGATTTTTTTTGTGGCCTATATTATAGTCAAATAGTTACTTTGCTTTGATTTCACTTTTTTCCCTCTTATGGTGCCCTAGTGTGGGATCTATTTGAAATAGTATAAAATTAATAAATAAAAATGTTAAATAAATAGCAAACGTTAACATAAGAGGTTGTGAATATAAATACTTACATCTTGACAAAATTAAATAATTTACAGAATAATTAAACTAACTACTTTTTAATTTCTTCCAAGAAGTGCAATTTCTCTACTTTTAAATACTAACTCTGAATTGCAGTCACCATTGACTTGGACTCTATTTACACAGTAGGAACATTGTGTTTTTAACACATTAAATTAAAATTCACCTTTTTTCACATCTCAAATGGATCTAAAAGAAGTGAAACCTTGGTGGCCTCCTGTTAGGAATTTACCCCCAACCTAATGATGTCATCCCCACCTCACCTGGGACACAAAGACCAAGCCAGACAGGACCCAGGAAATGTGGCAGTGACAGGCCAGGGGCCTGGGTGGACACACAGAAGCCAGAGGCCTGGCCTGGTGGTCCCTGGGCTTGGAGCCCAGACCCGTGGTCTAGAGGCTACAGCTCCCAGAGGGAGCCATGACCCCAAGACACACGTGTCTGCACAGGCTCTGGGTGCCCACAGCCCCAGACACAAGGCTGATTTTCAGGGGTGTCCCAGGCTTAAATTCCTTGAGCTGACTGTGGGCCGCGATGCTTGCCAACCATCGCGAGTGGTAGTCTGGAAGGCCTGCTCCTGACTTTCCCTCTGGAACAGAGCTTTGTTCCACCCTTAACACAAACGGAATTAAACAAAAACAGAAAACACACGTGCCACAGGGCCCTCACCGAGCACAGACACGCTGCCCCAGGCTGAGCCTCAGCCTCCCACCACCCGCCACTGTGCCCGCGGCCACCCTCCCAGCCTCGACAGACAAAATACTGTGGTTGCAAACTCCAAAACTTCCCTGAGAACCTTGTCCATGAGCTTCCACTGGAGACTTTGAGCTGCTTTTCGGATTTCTTCCAGAAAACAAAAATAAATCACTTTGTAATACTTCAGTGCCCCAGTGCCCCTCGTGGGTGGCTCACAGCCCCAAGCCTGGCAGGGGCATCGTGGGGGACACTAATTTCCAGGCACCCCTTTGGATAAACCCGCCCGAGGCCACGCTGGGCTTCGAACGAGAAGTCACTGTGAGTTGGGGATCCCGCCGCAAGGGCGGGAGTGGGAGGTGATGATGAGGCGGGCTGGGCGCTCCTCAGGACACACGGCCTAGACCTGGATGCCCCTCACGGCCTGCTTGATGCTCTCCAGGAGGTCCTTGTTCGCAGGGTTCTGGTAGCACTCCTGGTTGGAGTACATGTCGGTGAGCGTGCTCACATAGGCATCGAAGTTCTGTTCGCATATTGGCTCCTGGAGAGCAGAACCAGGTTAGCAAGCCCCACCCGCACAGCGAGAGGCAGCGTCACCCACCACGTCCCCACGAGACCTGAGACAAGCCCGTGCCAGCCAGGACAGTGCTGGCTGCACCCCCTGTGTGGAAACAGCCACGAGTGTGTCCCTCTGCAGCGATTCCACACCAGCTCTCTGCTGTGGGAACCACCATTTTGTTTGGGATTCCTAAGTGATCTGCGAGGCCCAGAGCAGCCGTGGGCGGTGCCTGCCAGGGCCACTGGGGCAAAGAGACTCTCCACGAAGGGCTCAGGACCCTCCAGCAGAGCCCAGACACTGGTGGGTGAGAGACACTCTGCCCTCCCTGCCCTGAAGAGCCCCTGGGGGGCGGCCAGCCCAGCCGAGGGGCCCACAGGGCCGCATGCTGCCTACCATGTGTGGAAGGCGGATATTGGCGAGACTTTGGATGAGGGCCTGGCTCAGGCCGGACAGCTCCAGAAACAGGGCTTCATTCTGCTCCTCGATGAGCTTGTTCTCCTCCTCGATGCTCTTCAGGTTCTTCTCCATGGAGGAGATCTGTGCCAGAGGGAGGCTTGAGTGTCTCCTGCCCGTGGCCCCCCATCTTCCTGGGAGCACGCTGGGCCGAACCGCATAAACCCTAGGAGAGGGCAGGGCCCTGGGATGGGGGAAGAGGCAGGGACCCTGCCTTCCTGTGGAGGCCCTGCCGCAGTGCCCTGGCCCTAGATGCAGGAGGGAAACAGCCAACCCGAGGGAAGCCAGGGTGTGGGTGTGGAGACTGAGCTGGGGCCACAGTGGCACCACTCGCTGGCCTTGTCCGTCCTACCGGGGTGTGGTGAGAGCACAAACCCACAGTGCCTGGTCTCAGTCCTGGACACCACCAGCTGTGCTCTCAGCCTTGGTGCTTCCTATTCCTGTCTGTAACAGGGGAGTGACCATACCCACCTCATGGGTGTCAGACTGCCTCTGGGTCTTCCCCTGGCTAAGAAAACTGACGAGCTGCCTCCCAGGCCAGGCACAGGCAAGTCTTCTCACCTCCCCACCTGGTCGTGGACCTGCCCAGGGTCATGCTGGCCCTGAGGCCTTTGATATCAAGGGACAGCCCCAGCCTGACTGCACCTCTCCAAGGAGCCGTGGGGTCAGAGGCTAAGTGCCCAAGAAGATTGTGTGTGTGGCACAGGACAGCAGCCCTCCTGGGAGGCTGTGGTTGGGCTGAGCTCTCTCCCTCTGCCCGCAGGTGGAAAGCTGGCAGCTTTAAAAGACATGAGAGGGAGACAAGGACCTGCCTTCTCTTGGCCTTTGCCCTTCTGGAGCAGGTGCCACTCGCCATGCTCCCTCAAAGGGACAGGCAGGCTTCTGAGTCCTTCCAGAGGGATGCAGTGAAAGGCAGCGCTCTGTCTGCAAAAAGATTGGTCTTCTTGGCAAATATCGAGAAACCAGAGGTGCTGTCCCAGGGACACTGATGCTGATGAGGGCCCTTCCCTTCTCAAGGTTTTTCCCTTGAGAAGGGAAGGAGCAGGGAGCACAGGTGTGACCCACACAGGCCCACGTCTCTACACCCCAGAGATGTCACTAGGAGACAGAGACAGTTCTCTGTTGCTGCTGCCTGGGAACCTGGGGGGGAGCGTATCAACATGTGCACGACAGAGTGCAAGTCCTTCCAGACTGCCAGGGGTGATGCTATTTTTATGCAGGCTCTCGAGTAAAGAGTGGTCGACAGGAGCCTGTTTGCCAGCAGAGAAAAGAGCAAAGCAACAAGACACGTAGGGTAGGAATTCGTCACCCGTCTTCTATAGCCTGGGGCAGAGGCCTTGTCATCTTCCCATCTGTCCCTGCCCAGGAAGGGGCTCTGCCCACATTCCCTGTGGGGCTGGGTCACCTCCTGTCCTTTGTCCTTCCAGCCCCTGGGGACACACCTGCATGTGCCTACTCCCCCCATGTGCCTACTCCCCCCATGTTGCTCCAGACTCCACTCAGCTTCCAGAGGGTGGGGTATGTTCTTATTTTCAAAATAAAATCTCTACTGCCTTTTTTTCTGATTACAAATGCTCACTTTGGGGAAATCAGAGAAATATGACACACACATTTAAAGCAATTTGTAATCCTGTTCCTCAGCAACAGCAGCTCCCATCGACCCCACTTACTCCGGGACAGGCACATAAGCCAAAGAAATGCGTTCATCCCGCGACAATCACAGGGAGTAGAACCTATTCTTCAATTTGCTGATGGAGACATTGAGGAACAAAGAGGCCAGAAGGTTTTCCAGGTCGCTCAGCTGGCACGTGGCTGTGCCAGGGTCGTAACCCAGCTCCAGGGACCAGGCTGTTAGGTACCACACTAATGGGGCTACTGGCACTAACATGACTAGTAACCCTAGAAGGACTACTAACCCCGATAGGACTACTCAGACTAATGAAACTAATACCAGTAGTACTGCTAATCTTAATGAGCCTGACAAGACTAATACTACTGTTAACACTAACATGACCACCAGCCCCAGTCGGGCAGCCAGCACCCAGGCTGCCTGCGCTCAGCGTGACTTCACAGGCACTGACGTGGACAGCCAGCACCCAGGCTGCCTGCGCTCAGCGTGACTTCACAGGCACTGACGTGGACAGCCAGCACCCGGGCTGCCTGCGCTCAGCGTGACTTCACAGGCACTGACGTGGACAGCTAGCACGGCTGCCTGCGCTCAGCGTGACTTCACAGGCACTGACGTGGACAGCCAGCACCCGGGCTGCCTGCGCTCAGCGTGACTTCACAGGCACTGACGTGGACAGCTAGCACCCAGGCTGCCTGTGCTCAGCGTGACTTCACAGGCACTGACGTGGACAGCCAGCACGCACTGGGTGTCCCAAGTGCCAGGTGCCACGGTGTCCACCAGCTCGGCCCTAAAGCAGCCTAGACAGGTGCTGATGGATGCTGCACTGTCCCTGGCATGGACATTTGGGTTGGGAGGGCAGAGAGCCTGGGGCTGGGGGACAGTGCCACCCACCTGGGACTGCAGCTGCACCATGGCGGCCTCCATCTCCGAGTTGGACTCATTCAGGTCTCGGATCTCCTGGTTCAGCTGCTTGATCTCCTCGTCATTCTCTAGCACTGCCCGGAGAAAAACCCCAGTGATAGCTCTGGGCCTCAGGCCAGGGGACCCCGCTTTCTAGAAAGAACTAGAAACCCCAGTGATGGCTCTGGGCCTCAGGCCAGGCCAGCATGGTGTGGGGACCCTGCTTTCTAGAAAGAACTAGAAGCCCCAGTGTGGCGGAGGACTTCTGCCTGGCTTTCCAAGCTCGTCTCTTGGGGCTCGTACCCTCATTCCACACTGGGAAAGCCTGTCTTGAACACTGGGAGATGAGTGTGTGCTGCTCGTCCCTTGCCGAGGTTGCCAGTGGAAAGGCTTAAGTCTCTTTGGGAGGCATCAATTGTTAAGACAAAAATGAAAGTTTGTCCAGATCACGCTAAATTTCCTCACCTAAGTGGAAGTGAGTCACACTTTCCACAAACTCATCAGATGTGGCTTCTTGTGCCGGTGGAATCAGTCCCACGGTCACCAAGGCCCAGGTGAGAGCTGGCATGACAGCCTGAGGCCCAGGGGCCTAGACATGGGCATCCGGAGCGTCAGAGCCAAGGGCAGGAGCGCTGTCAGCTCAGGGTACAGGGTCTGTCTCCACCACGATTCATTCCAGGAGGGGCTCATCTGCCTGCCCCTTCCAACCAGCATGAAGAGGGACTAGGCTCTCATGCACCTGGGTCCCCAGTCATGAGCAGGGAGCACAGGAGGGCACTCTTACCGTCACTGGTCTTGAACTTTGGGCTGAGAACCTCTTCCCCTGAGAGTTTTCCCTTCTTCCCAGCAAATGTTGCTCTGGGACAGCCTGACAAACTGGAAGAGAGGTCACATATCATTGACCAGTGCAGGCTCACACACCATGGCCAGTGTGAGGTCACACACCATTGTGAACCACTGTGGGGTTCACACTCCATGGCCACTGTGGGTCTCACACCCATGGCCAGTGTGGAGGTCCACACACCATTGCGCCAGTGTGGAGGCCAACACACCATGACCAGTGGGGGAGGACGTAACAACCATGGCCAGTGCAGGGCTCACCACACCATGCCAGTGTGAGCGTCACACCACCATGGCCCACTGGTGGCGTCACACTCATGGCCAGTGTGAGGTCCACACACCATGCGAACCAGTGTGGAGCGTCACACCACCCCTGGCCAGTTGGCCTGAGGGCGCGCAGCGAGGACGCGGATGGCCGTGTGGAGGTTCACACAGCCATGGCCACAGTGTGGAGTCACACAACCATGGCCACGTGCGCAGGCTCACACACCATGGCCCAGTGCGTAGGTCCACTACACCACTGGCCCACTGCTGGGGTCACACTCCATCGGCCAGTGTGGACAGGTCACACACCATGACCAGTCGTGGACGCGGTCACACACCCCATGGCCAGTGGTGCTGTAGGGCTCCACACACCACTCGGCCAGCTTGCTGGAGGTCACACACCATGGCCCTAGTGGGTGGAGTAAGCACACCATGCCAGTGCAAGGCTCCAGCACACCGACTGCAGTGTGAGGTCCCCCAGCACCATGGGCCTCACTGCGTGGGGTCACACTCCATGCGGCGCGCCACTGTGGGCGTCTCACACATGGCCAGCGTGGGGTCACACACATGTGCCAGTGTAGAGGTACCACCGTGACCCAAGTGTGGAGGTCACACACCACCTGAACAGGGTGGAGTCCACACCTCCATGGCCAGTGTGGCCCATGGTCACACCACCCCATGACCATGGTGAGGCCCACCACAAACCCATGGCCACAGTGTGTGATGGTCACACCCATAGGCCAGTTGGTGGAGGTCCCCACACCCATGGCCTAGTGCAGGCTCACACACCATGACCAGTGTGGAAGGTCATACACCGATGACCCAGTGCAGGCCTCACACACCATGGTCCAGTGTGCCGGGGTCACACACCATGGCCACTGTGGGGTCCAGCACTCCATGGCCAGGTGTGGGAGGTCATACACTGCCATGGCCAGTTCGTGGGGTCACACCTGCCATGGCCAGTGTGCAGGTCGACACACCATCGACCAGTGTGGAGGTCACAACACACCCCATGGCCAGTGCCAGGCTCACACACCAGTGGACCCAGTGTCGCGAGGTCATCACCACCCATGCCCAGTGTTGGTGGTCACACATCCTGGACCACTTGGGGGTCACACTCCATGGCCAGCTGTGGAGGTCATACTCCACATGGCCCAGTGTCGGGGTGCGACACTCCATGGCCAGTGGTGGCACAGGTCACACACCATTGCAGGTGTGGAGTCAGCGCACGCCATGGCCAGTGTGAGGTCACCACTGGCTGGGAGTTACTCATGGCCACTGCTGGCAGTCCATACTCCATGGCCAGTGGTGGGGTCACACACCATACCAGTGTGGGGGTCACCACTCCATGGCCAGTGTGGGGTCCCCTCACACCAGTGGTCAGTGTGGGGTACACACCATCTGGCAGTGTGGAGGTCAACGACACCATTGACCAGCTGTGGAGCGTCCCACACTCCTGGCCGAGTGTGGAGGTCCACACACCATGGCCAGTGGTGGAGTCACAACCATGGCCAGTGTCGGAGGTCATACTCCCATGCCAGTGTGGGACGTCATACTCCATGGGCCAGTGTGGGGTCACACACCCATGACCAGTGTGGGGGGTCACACTCCATGGGCCAGTGTGGGGTCCTCACACCATGTCAGTGTGGGGTCACACACCAATGGCCAGCTGTGGAGGTCCCCACACACCATGACCAGCTGTGGAGCGTACAACCACCAGATGACCAGTGTGGAGGTCACACTCCAATGGCCCAGTGTGGAGGTCACACCACCGATGACCACGTTGTGGAGTCCACACACCATGGCCAGTGTGAGGTCACACACCATGGCCACTGTGGGGTCACACTCCATGGCCACTGTGAGGTCACACACCATGGCCACTGTGGGGTCTCACACCATGGCCAGTGTGGGGTCACACACCATGGCCAGTGTGGAGGTCACACACCATGGCCAGTGTGGAGGTCACACACCATGACCAGTGTGGAGGTCACACTCCATGGCCAGTGTGGGGTCACACACCATGGCCAGTGTGGAGGTCACACACCATGACCAGTGTGGAGGTCACACACCATGGCCAGTGTGAGGTCACACACCATGGCCACTGTGGGGTCACACTCCATGGCCAGTGTGGGGTCTCACACCATGGCCAGCGTGGGGTCACACACCATGGCCAGTGTGGAGGTCACACACCATGGCCAGTGTGGAGGTCACACACCATGGCCAGTGCAGGCTCACACACCATGGCCAGTGTGAGGTCACACACCATGGCCAGTGTGGAGGTCACACACCATG